TTTCTTTCTTTCTTTCTTTCTTTCTTTCTTTCCTTCCTTCCTTCTTTCTTTCTTTCTTTTTCTTATCTCTTTTTTCTTTCTCTCTCATTTGTTTTCTTTCTCTTTCTTCCTTTCTTTCTTTCCTTCCTTTCTTTTCTCTTTCCCTCTCTTTTTCTCTATTTATTTTCTTTCCTCCCTCCCTCCCTTCCTTCCTTCCTTCCTTCCTTCCTTCCTTCCTTCCTTTCTTTTTCTTTCTTTCTTTCTTTCTTTCTTTCTTTCTTTCTTTCTTTCTTTCTTTCTTTCCTTCCTTCCTTCCTTCCTTCCTTCTTTCTTTTTCTTTCTCCCTCTTTTTTCTTTCTCATTTATTTTCTTTATTTCTCTCTCTCCCTTCCTTCCTCTTTTTCTTTTTTCTCTTTCTTCTTTTCTTTCTTCTTCCTTATTTTTCCTTCCTTCCTTCTTTCCTTCCTTCTTCTTTTCTCTCTCTCTCTCTCCCTTCCTTCCTTTCTTTCTCCCTCCCCCGCTCTCATTATCTCTCTCTTTTTCTGTGCATCAGTAATGAAATGTCTGCAAGAAAGTAAGTAAGCTCAGAGAGCACCAAGCCCCCCCACTCCCCACTTAATTTTCAGACTGGAGCAATCTTAGGGCCTGTGCCTCTTCCTATGTTCATATAAAATCTGAAGTTAGGAGTGGGCACCAAGTTTGGTTAAATTCACCGACAATACAAAACTTTTTAAGGTGGTTGTTGTTGATGATGACCACAATCACGATGAGGCAAAGACCTTTAAAGTTTGTGAAGAGCTCTAATAAGACCTTTCCACAATAGAATAATGGATTTCAGAATGATGCAGCGCGAGGAGGTATAAAGAAATGGGTGTTAACTTTCAACCCACACAGTGGATTTGAACTATGAGTCATGAAACAGGACCTGACTTTGCCATCCCGGTGGAAGGTCAGTTAAAATGTGAGGTCAGGGCAGAACCCCCAAATAAGCACTCAAGCTTATTTTCGGGGGCGTCTTAATTTTGTTTGAGTGCTACTGCTGCGAGGCGGGATGGTGGCGGAGGAGCTGCCTGATGGACACACCGGCTGTGATGACCTGGGGCATGGCACAAAAGCAACACAGTCAGGTAATCAGTAGGAGTCCCTTTATTAGCTCCAACTTTGCCCCCAATGTCCTGGTTACCTTCTGGTCTGGAGAAAAACTCTCATAGGAACAGCCTTTGGCTGCAGAGATTCAAGTCCAAAACATGGTCAACAAAAGCTTTAACTATAAGTCCAAACAAGGCAAAATGAGGTAATTATTCCGGCAGGTCAAGAAGAAGGAATTCCAGATGTGAAGGAACGGCAGTAAATCAATCCAGTTGGGAGGATTCCAGAAACGCAGATAACTACAGTCAACACAAGACAAACTCACATTTGTTCCCAGCAGACATCGCACTCAGCCTGCACCTCCTTTAAATTCTCAATCCCAGCTGTGGCTAATGAAGGGAATCAGGGCCCTTTCCTCCCCCGTAAGCCACACAACCCATGTTGCTCTCTTCTCTGTTCCTCCCTGTGTGCCCTAGGATGAAGAGGTGGTAGACCTGGACTCCCTCTCCTTTGTTCTACCTCTCCCCTTCTCGGCCCAGCCAGATATTGCCCTTCCCCAGTTTCCTCCTCAGCCAATGGAGCCACACTCCCACTCTCTGTCAGCTATTCATTTTCCTCCTCAGATTCAGACTCTTGACAGGGGCATGACACCAGTTTATTTCAGGGCCCCTGTGGCTCCACGTCCCCCCAACTGCCTGGCAGTGGGAGCACCAACATCCGTGGGCAGCAGGAGCCCACACGGCTCACTTCTTCCAGCACTGGCACAGCACTGGCAGAGGAGACCAAGTGACACAGCCAAGGTCCATCTCCAAGCACCCCATAGGTGCCCAAACACTCTTTGCCCAGATGGAGAAACAAGGGAGACTCAAAACTTTATCTGCTTGCAAGTATTATTATTTTTTTAATACAGGTCCTGAAATGCTTCTGGGGGTTGGGCAATATCTGGAAATGCCCTTAGGCGATTGTACAATGTATTGAGCATGTCTTCTGCTAAATGGTAGTGGGTTAATCCTATTATGTCCTGAAGGGTTGCATCCTGTTCTTTGAATTTGGGTGGAGGAGAATGTAAACTTTTAATCCCAGCCCTGGAAGTGAAAGTCTTTGGTTTTGTGAGTAGATTGGCCCAGATTTCTTAACGGAAACCAAGTATCTGTTGGGGGCTATTAAGAAAGACCGAATCTGGTATTTTGTCTTTGAGAGCATGTTTCTCCATTTCTCCCTTTGGGGAAATATAATATTCTGCCTTTTTTTTAATATTTTCCAAAACATTTCATTCTTCTGGGGGTGGGGGAAGGGCTTCCCACAATACCAAGTGACTGTCCAGTCTCTTCTTAAAAACCTCCAGTGATGGAACACCCACAACTTCTGAAGGCCAGTCGTTCCAACCGGTTACTTGTTCTGTCAGAAATTTTCTCCTTAGTTCTAGGTGTGGGAAGCTACTCCCCTCCTACGTTTCCCATCTCTTTCTCCCACCTCGGAACTGAACCAGATGGCTATGCAGGGTTGGATTTCCAAAATGTTAGCAATGGGTTCTCTGCCTGGTTGCTGGGTGGGTGAGGCCATAGTGGATGTGGCCGAGTTGGCCTCCTGCACCATGGCAGGGGGGGCATTTTTGCCCTCCCCAGGCTCCGGAGGCTTTCCTCGAGCCTTCGGGAGGGTGAAAATGGCCTCCCCGTGTTCTGGAAGCTCTCTGGAAGCTGGAAATGGGCCCATTTCCAGCGTTCCCAAACTTCCAGGAGGCCCGTTTATTGCCTTCCCTGAGCCTCCACACGTACCCTGCGCTTACTTGCATCCAAAATGGACCATATGGGGATTCTTGGGAGGGGCAAGGCATGGTGGGTGGAGCCAGATAGGAGTGGGATTTGGGGGTTCTCCAAACTGCACAGAATCTTAGCTAGGGGCTCTCCTGAACCCCTGTGAACCCGCAACAGCCCACCCCTATGACTATGAGTCTGTCGTCTGCACCTCTATAACTGTCTGGTTTGGTTCTGCAACCCAACAAGACAAACACAGACTTCAGAGGATAATTAGGACGGCAGAAAAAATGGCTGCCCACCTGCCTTCCATTGAGGACCTGTATGAGTCAAAAAGAGGGCTGTGAAAATATCTACAGACCCCTCACATCCCGGACATAAACTGTTTCAAATCCTTCCCTCAAAACGACGCTATAGAGCATTGCACCCCAGAACAACTAGACACAAGGAGAGTTTCTTCCCGAACGCCATCACTCTGCTAAACAAATAACTCCCTCAACACTGTCCAACTATTTACAAAGTCTGCACTACTATTACTGTTAATCCTCTCATCACTCCTTATCACCCATCCCCTCCCACTTGTGATTGTAGGACTGTAACTTTGTCGCTTGTAGCCTAACAATTTATATTGATTCTTTCCTAGTATGATTTGATTGCTTATTGTACCCTAGGACTATTATTAAGTGTTGGACCTGATGATTCTTGACTCTTGATGAATGTATCTTTTCTTTTATGTTCACTGGGAGCATTTGCACCAAGACAAATTCCTTGTGTGTCCCATCACACTTGGCCAATAAAGAATTCTAATTCGAATGTCTTCCAACACAGCTTAGCTCTCTCTCCTTAATAGGCTTCCACCCATTACTTCTTGTCCTGTCCTCTGTTGCTTTAGAAAAGAAGACAATACCTTCTGTGAGACTCCAGCAAGTACTAGAAGACAGTTAGTTATGATATTTTCCTTCTGTCTCTCCTCCTCACACTCCAAAGAGTTCAGGCAGGACTAGTTTGCATTTCTTTCTAATGTTTTCTCCCTGTCTTGGATTAAATACTATTTTGCTAATTGCCATCTTGCAGTGTCTCCGAGGTTATCTCTTGCAGAGTTGTAATTGCAGGAATGTTCCAATCTCGGATGGCAAACCTCAGATAAAGAATGCTTCCAAGCAAATACAATTCAGGTAAACAAAGTCACTAATCTAAAGGACGATTAGAGAGAGGAAGTAAACATATGTTAGACCTTAACTAGAGATAATTAATTGTATGGATTGCTATGCTAAACAATAACAAAAGTTAAGCAGTAACCAAAATTAACCAGTGATGGAGGATAACTAAAAATGTGTATAAATGCAAGACTAGACTCCAATAAAGATCATCATGATTCAGTTGTTCATGATCAAACAACTCGACTGCCTCGTCATTACAGCAATCTCTGGGTCTGTACCAGATTGGATGGAGGCAGGCAGAAACTCTCAGAGTGAGATGTGTAAATAGCGAGACATGTTTCTCCTGTTCTCACATTGTTTGGAAGAGTGGACGGATGTCCATTAAAACGAAATGAGAGAAATTTCAAGTCCAATAAAAGAACTCATTTTCCCAATGTTTAATTAAACTGTGGAACTTTGCAACAATCCGGCGAGGTGATGATGCCCATGAATTTAGATGGCTACTAATCTTGATGGTTATTTAATATCTCTGGAATCAGGAGGGACAGACCTTGAGAAACAGTTCCTGCACGTCAAATGCAGGCGTTTCTTTCCCTGTAAAGCTAGAAGCTAAAGCCTATGAAGAACGGATGCAGGAATTGGGTACATCTAGTCTCGTGAAAAGAAGAAGTAGGGGAGACTTGCTAGCAGGGTTGCAATATTTGATGGGCTGCCACAAAGAAGCCGGGGTCAGAATACTCCACCATAGGGCAAGACAAGAAGAAATGGATGGAAATTAACCAAGGAGAGAAGCAACCTGGAATTAAGGTGAAACTTTCTAACAATGAGAACAATCAACTAAGTAGACCACTACGTAATTTTTAGTAAACTAGAAGAAAAGTGGGATAGATAGCACCACCATTAGATCACTCATACTTGCTGACAAACCGTATTCAACAAGTAGTCCCTAATGGGTCTAAGTCTACATGGAGGGAAGTAAGCAGTGGGGTGCCACAAGGTTCCACCTTAGGCCCAGTACTCTTCAATATCTTCATTAACGACTTAGATGAGGGAATAGAAGGGGAACTTACCAAATTTGCAGATGATACTAAGCTGGCAGGAATAGTTCACACCCAAGAAGATCGGCTCAAGATCTAGATGGATCTTGACAGACTAGAACACTGGGCCATATCTAACAAAATGAAATTCAATGTAGAGAAAAGTAAAGTCCTGCACTTAGGCAAGAAAAACCAAAATGTGCACATATAAACTGGGTGAAACCAGGCTCAATAGCAGTAACTGTGAGAGGGATCTTGGAACCTTAGTGGACAACCAGCTAAATATAAGCCAACAGTGTGCAGCAGCAGCCAAAAAAACTAATGCAGTCCTAAATTGCATTAACAGAGGGATACAATCAAGATCAAGTGAGGTACTAATACCACTCTATCAAGCCTTTTATAAGACCACACTTGGAATCCTACATCCACTTTTGGTCACCACAATGTAAAAAAAGATGTTGAGACTCTAGAAAAAGTGCAGAGAAGAGCAACCAGGACAATTAGGGGACTGAAGGCTAAGACATACAATGAACAGTTGCAGGAACTGGGCTTGACTAGTCTAGTGAAGAGAAGGACCAGGGGAGACAGGAGAGCAGTCTTCCAATATCTGACAAATATTGAAAAAAAAGTTATCCAAGCTCTTCTTAAAAACTTTCAGTGTTGGAGCATTTACAACTTTTGGAGGCAAGTTGTTCCACTGATTAATTGTTCTCACTGTCAGGAAATTTCTCCTTAGTTCTAGGTTGCTTCCCTCTTTGATTAGTCTCCATCCATTGCTTCTTCTCCTGCCTTCAGGTGCTTTGGAAAAGAGCTTGATTCTCTAATACTGCTGATTGCCGACTGCCAGTAATTTGAGTCCCACCATCGCAAGGTTGACTCAGCCTTCCATCCTTCCGAGGTTAATAAAATGAGGATCCAGATTGTTGTGTGCAAGAGACTGACTCTGTAAACCACTTACTTAGAGAGGGCTGTAGCTCTAAGTCTTAAATCTAGATTTACAACCATCTATCCTGTTGCACTTATGGCACTCAATCCTGGGCAGCAACAACAGAGACCGAAATCTCTCTCTGTGCCACGGAAATGTGAAGGCTCTGTTCGGTATTGGGCATCTCCCTTCTTGACCACATCACAAATGACACTATTTGACAGCATTTTGGTGTGGCACCAATTGTAGAGGTGAGAGGAGGCTGGCTCCACTAGTATGGACCAGTGGTGGGATTCAATTTCCTTTTTTTACTATTGGTTCTGTGGGTTTGGCTTGGTGGGCGTGGCTTGATGGGTGTGACAGGAGAAGGATACTGTAAAATATCCATTCCCTCCCCACTCCTGGGGGAAGGTTACTGCAAAATCCCCATTCTCTCCCCACCCCACTAGCCTGCTTTCCAGCTCTGTTCTCCTGCGCAGGGCAACCAAAGACCCAGCCAATCAGCTGGGACTCAGGAAGCAGAGATTAGATGGGGGCAGGGTTAGTCCGAGGTGGTATTTTCTGGTTCTCCAAACTACTCAAATTTTCCGCTACTGATTCTCTGGAACTGGGCAGAACCTGCTGAATACCACCTCTGGTATGGACATGTCCAGAGAGCAGCACTTCCCACGATGGCCACAAGACCAACTAGAAGTCAATGGCTGGTGGGCCTTCACCCTGGAGATGCAGCTGACTGAGCAAAGTGACATTCAATGCTCCAAACTACAGGCCCTGCATCTGCAGGAATACTCTAGGATTCTAGAACTCCCATTAATCTCTATTTTAAGCACAGTTGTCAGTGGAATTGACAGAAAATGTCAATTTCACCAGGTTGGAATTATTGATGAAATTGACAGGTAGAGCAAAGACTTGGGGAAATTCCAAAGGCAACCTGGAGAAGAGGAAGTTAATTAAACAAGTGTTAATTAGAATACTGATTACATACATACATGCAAAGATTCATACATGCATATTCCATGTATGGAATCATATTTCAGTTCTGAAAACCCAGCGGTTTGCAAAGATAATTAAGACCTGGAAATGTATACTGAACAGTGTTGATGCAATCCTAAATTAACAATATTTCTATTTTTTAGCCTTTAATTTATCTGACTAGGATTCTTTTTTTCTGGCTCATTTTGCATAGTGTTGTTTATCCCAAAAACCAAAGGCTGCACTTGGTAAATATGCAAATTTCAGTCTTAAAAATCAGTGGTAACTACTTCCAAGAAGGCATGACAATCTTCTAAGGGCTGGGTACCGAACACAAGGTTTTATTTTATTTTGATTTTCTAAAAAAAACACAGACACCCGACTTCTGCAAGAAGCTAAATTATCTTCTGCAAATTGAAGATAATGATACAATTAAAATCCATGGTTGTTTTCTTCTCCTCCTCCTTCCTAAACTCCCCCTCCCCAAATACATAACACCTGGCAAATAGATGCAGGCAGCAATTAAGAGTGAAATAAGGTGCGTCATTTATAACAATCCTACAGATATTTTAATAAATGGGATGATTGGCTTTTTATGTGGTAGCAGGGAAACTTTAATCATCTCTCTAAGCAGATTAGAAAAGATAAAGAATTAATTGCATTATGGAATTTATGAGGCAGAGCCATTGGTGGTAGCCATTTTAAATGCAATAATAACAATTTTTACAGGGCCTGTGTATTTCTGTAATTGGTAGCATCAAGTCTGTCCATTGTTGTCTCCGCTGCTTTTTTTTTTTTTTCAGTCATTATGGGGCAGCTGTTTCAGTTTAATCATTTTGGGACGTGAAGATTTATGATATGCAAATAGAACCAGGTATCAAAGCTTTGATACATATAGGAAGGGAGGGGGAGAAACCCCTCCGAAGCCATCAACTCAATATACCTTTGTAACGTTAATGTTTTCTAAAACAGATTTTATTGAAGTTTTGCAAGAGACATAAAAACTAACACAAACAAATAAAGAGCAGAAAAGAACTGGTTTTGTCTCGTGGTTAAAGCACCAGGCTGGGAAGAAGGAGATGGTGAGTTCTCGTCCTGCCTTAACCATGAAGGCTGGTTGGCTGACTTTGGGCC